AAGCATAAAGAGTATATGAAAAACATTCCCCAAAGTCAACACAAGTGTAAAAAGTAAGAAATGAAATAGCTCAAGCTGAATTTCAGACTGTGCAGAGGCTGAAGGAGAACAAAATCACAGACTTAATTTCGAAAAAGAAGTGAGTTACAGAAGCCTATCATGGAGAAGTCACAGGATTTTATCTGGGGGGGGGGGGGGGAAGGGTATGCTTGACACAGGGTTTTAGATAGCCTTCAATGCAACAGTTTAGAAGTTGAAAACTCATAGCTCAAAAAGAGATAAAAGCATATCTTTTGTAGCATATCTCATTGTAGCATAATATAATCTCATTGTAGCATAATATATCTCATTGTAGCATAATATAACTTTAGGTAACTTTTAATTGTTCAGATTTCATAGATTGTGGTATATATCTAATGTGGTAAATAAACAAGGAAACGTTAATGAAATCAAAGTCACCATAAAATTTTATGGTTATATGCTACGAATTGTGCACAATTTCTTGGTAATGAAAAGACACTTCCTCATTAGGATTCTTTTCGAAAACGATTTTAGAATTGTTTTACATTAGATACAACATATTTTACTTAGAAATTCAGTTCAGCTGCTTTTCCCCTTTTTGTTTTACAGATGAGACTTGCAGACTTTGGCACTTGGTTTCTTTCTTTTTAATTTCAATTATCCCACACTGAAGTTGGCAGGAAAACCAAGTCTATGGTTTATAAACACAGATAAAGTGCCATACAGTAAATAACACACTATGTGAACACCCAACAATTTACTGCTAAAATCCAGGGTAAGCATGTGGAAAGCTGGCGTGGGCTCCATGATGGCGCTCTCCTGAAAAAAAAAAAAAAAAAAAAGAGTTGCTTAGCTCTGTGTATTTAAGGTGGGGCCGCAGGGGTGTGGGTCAGGTGGGATTCTGACCCTCCCCTGGGCTGGGAAACTTACTCATCAGTCGTCTGCCTCTCCCCCAGCACAAAGTCTAAATCGAGCTGTTCTTGGATTTGTCACAGGGAAGATTTTCTCGGTTTGCCTTTGGCAATGATGGCTGTTGTGCTCCCAGCTGCTCCGTCTGTGATTCCCAAAGGAGAAAGTCACCTTTTCCTAGCCTCTTCCCTATGAAGTGAGGAATAAATTTCCCGACAAGTCTCCTCTGGCCACTGCAGACAGCTGCCAAGGACAGAGAGAGCAGGTGTCGCCAGGGTGCCTCAGGAACCAGTGCCCTGGCTCTTCCCTGTGGGAGAGTCTCAGAATTGATCCTTACACCTACAGGGGAGCTGAACACTTATCTAATATCTAAGATCGTCTAATAGAAAGGAGATCTGAAAGATGGCAGTTACGGGGCTGAATGATGTGCCCTCACTCCACCCCAAAATTCCTATGTTGAAGTCCTAATCCCCAGAACTTTGGAATGTGACCTTATATGGAGATAAGGCCTTTACAGAGGTAATGGAGCTGAGTGAGGTCCCTGGGGTGAGGCCTAATCCAGTGTGACTTCTGTCCTTATAAAGAGGGAAAGTTTGAGCACAGAGACGTGCGTAGAGGGCAGAGGACATGAAGACACACAGGGAGAAGACAGAGGCCTGGAATGCACCCTTCCCTCACAGCCCTCAGAGGGAGCCAGCCCTGCTGTCACCTTGATTTCAGACTTCCGGCTCCCAAAACTGTGAGAAAATAAATCTCCCTGGCTTCCGGTGCTCAGTCTGTGGCACGTTATGGCAACAGCCTTAGCCAGCTAATACGACCACTGCATAAGAGAGGGCCTAATAGAACCCTCTGGATTCTAGCTGAAGAACTGGAGGCAGGATAGAAAAAAGAGCGGTCACACAGTCTGTCAGCATCACTGCCTGGAACCTGTTTCCTGGTGCCCAATTCATTGTGCCTTCACCTGCCCGGGTGAACAACCCCACCAGCAGGAGGCGTTGATGGTCACTTCCAATGGAATAGCGGAGGTCGCACTGAAGGACCCACATTCCCTCGGCAACTCTGCACCCTGATGGGGGCCGAGTGTGGCAGCCCCAGGTCTCATCTACAAGATGGACCCTCTGGGCTCTGAGCACTTCATTCACCATCATGGAGTGACGCACCAGTAGTTAAGGCCCTTTGGTACGAATCCCGATATGCTGTGGCTATGGGGGAGGCTTTAAAAATAAATGTGTGTATGGTTTATTTTCACACGCCTGTTTCAGACGCCCCAACTGTAGGGCCGAGGACTAAGCTTCTACCCCCGTAATGTAAGCAATCTTCTTCCACCCTTAGCAACTCAGCGTGGGAAGCTATAGAGGAATTAGCTTATTCCGGGGATCTTGGGAATGAATGGCCCAAAAGGAAAAACTGCCCACTGGGTGTCCAGATTTCCCATCCGACACCTGTCTGTAAGGTGGGCAGGTAAGAGGTCTCTAAGAAGTCAAGCACCCAACACAATTCCAAGGCAAATAAGAACAGCACCTTTGTGTGTCTGCTTCCCTGCCACGTGCTGTATTTAGTAGATTTTGTTTTCTCTAATTCATTAGGAAGAAATTTCTCAGGAGTGGCAGGTTTTAACTGGGAAGCAAGAAAAGTTTTCGTGTGCTTACCATCTATCTCTTTCTAGAAAAGAAATCTTTAGGGGCCCCTGGGTGGCTCAGTGGGTTGAGCATCCAACTTCGGCTCAGGTCCTGATCTCACGGTTCATGGACTCGAGCCCCACGTCGGGCTCTGTGCTGACAGCTCAGAGTCTGGAGCCTGCTTCGGATTCTGTGACTGCCTCTCTCTCTCTGCCTCTCCCCTGCTCACATTCTGCCTCTGTCTGTCTCAGAAATAAATAAAAATTAAAAAAGAAAAGAAGTCCTTAGCTGGGGTTTGAATTCAGGAGGTACACAGGGGCACCTGGGTGGTTCAGTCAGGTAAGCGTCCGACTTCGACTCAGGTCATTTTCTTCTATTTTACATGGAAATAAACCAATCGTTAGCAATACCAGTAATAGAAAGAGATATCATTAATAGAAGCATAGAGACATCCGTTGTTAAAGACATCAGAATTTCATTTATGCTCATCACTGCTTTGAAACTTTGTTAGTTATTACAGATACTACTAAGCATTATTATTTTGTATATTCATTTTGAAAGGCATGTATTACATTTTTTCCTTGATGATTGCATTTCAATATAATTTTTCTCAGTAATCCTATGTGTTTTATTTATTCAGTTCAAAACATTATTCTAAAAGAGGATCCATAGCTTTACCAGACTCCCAGTGGGGTGCATAGAACACAAAGGGTTAGGAAACCCCACTGGGCCAGCAAAGACAGTCACTGGGGAAAATCTCAGCTGCCCGGCTGCCCATGACTGCGAATGTTCCAGCACGTTATTTACAATCAATAAAGAACAGAAAGATCTACAATCTACTAAAGAATGATGGAAACCGGATTTTTAAAATTCAGGTAACGGCAATCTATTCCCAGGGATTTGACTTCAGGTGGTCTTAGGTGCAGTTTGCTTATTTTCTAAAGAGATTTTGAAGCAGGTGGTCAAAGGCCCACACTTTGAAAAACAAGGGTGTTGATGTTCTGCTAGCCTAACCATCTTAGGTAAATACTTAATATTTTTCCTGTAGTGATTATTTCTTTTTCATCCCTGGTTTCGAAATACATGATTAAATAATGTGTCCCCCTCACCGCCACCAAAGTCACTTTTTACTTTACTTTTGGCAGCAAAAATGTTTTTATTTATTTTTAATGTTTATTTATTTTTGAGAGAGAGAGAGAGAGAGAAAGAGAGACAGAGCGTGAGCAGGGGAGGGGCAGAGAGAGAGGGAGACAGAATCTGAAGCAGGCTCCAGGCTCTGAGCTGTCAGCACAGCCCGATTCGGAGCTCCAACTCACAGATGGCGAGGTCATGACCTGAGCCTAAGCCGGATGCTTCACCAACTGAGCCACCCAGGCTCCCCAGCAGCAAAAATAATTTTAAAAGTACTTTTACAAGTAACACAGTTTAGAATAGCATTTATGAGGGACGCCTGGGTGGCTCAGTTGGTTGAGCGTCCAGCTTCGGCTCAGATCACGATCTCACAGTTCGTGAGTTCGAGCCCCATGTTGGGCTCTGTGCTCGCAGCTCAGAGCCTGGAGCCTGCTTCAGATTCTGTGTCTCCCTCTTTCTCTGCCCCATCCCCACTCACGCTCTGTCTCTCTCTCTCTTAAAAATAAATAAAACATTTAAAAAAAAATTTTTTAAGGAAAAATAGAATAACATTTACGCTTCAGCGCTTTTTAAAGATAGAGGCAAACAATGCCTAAAAGGGTGAGGGAGCAATTTAGAAAATAGTCCATAGGTTTGGGAAACGAAAGAGGATTTATACCTTTCTTGAGTATTAGGTCTTTTGCTGCTGTGAAAGATGAAGGCAACAAAGGCTACACTTGCAGGTTTGTTCCGTTCCTTGAAAGTTTGCTCTTGCAAATACCTCTACCTTTCTTGAGTTGCATGATTCATCTTGTGTCCACATGGACAGCTGACTGCCATTTGGCCAAGAAGTTGATACAATTTGCAAAGCAATAATTGACATCTCTCCTGGAGAGGCGCACAGCCCTTCAGTGAACTGGGCTTCAGTTAGCAGCCCTGTAAACTGGGCTTCAAGTGTCCCGAGTAAACAGACTCATTACAATAGTGGGGGGAGAGGGAGGGAGGAGGTGGGTTTGCGCTGGGGTGTGGAGCAAGCGTGGTTTCCTCAAAGCTACTAAGGAGCCCTGAAGGCGTCCTACCTCAGCAGCTACTACAGTGTGAAATATCAGAAATTACAAACTAAACTTAAAAAAAAAAAAAAAAAGATATAGCATGTGTCTTTTTACCTTGGTCTGTTTTTAATTGCATATCATTATATCTGGGACAAAAATTCATCCAGTTGGTAAGAAATTTAAACTGTAAAAATTTCTCCCAACTGACCTGATTGGTAGCTGTAGTCTAGAACTTGTTGGAGCCTCCCTTGTGTTAAAGAACCACTCTTTCTTCCTGGATTGAAAGCCACTGGAGGGCAGGAACAATAACACCTCAGGGCCAGCTTGGCTCAGACTTTGCCCAATACACCTGTCTGTAACAAAAGTTACAGATTTTTCCACAGCTGGTACTTGGGAGCAGCGATGCAAAGATCTCGCTTGGAATCTGTCTTTCCAGCTCAGTGCCTTGACCTACCAGGAAGACTGGGGCCTGGGTCAAAGTCCTGGCTGTGCCACTTACCAACCATATGACATAACACTGGGCCAGCAAGTTACTGGATATTTCCAAACTTCAATTTCCTGTGCTGTGTAAAGGAGATAATAAAGGCATTTTCCTCTCAGATTTGTTGTAGGAATTAGAGGAGATGATGCATGTTAAGCACTTAAGACAGCATCTGGGAAGTGCTCAGGAATTGTTACCTATTATTATCTTCAACCAAAAACTTGGGCAAAGCGTAAAAACTATGCTACTGTGAATTCTTGAAACAAGGAAGTCTCGGATAATGGTTGTCAATGGCAATCAACAATTTGAGTAATAGAACCACATGATAGAGCAGCTCTTAGCCAGAGCCACTCAGAATCATCCAGAGACTTTCCTCAACACTCTAATAAGACAGAGTTATTGTGAAACTATGAGAAACTCTCACCTTTTGAACACTTCTCTCTTTGTGGTAATGACCCTGAAGCAGTGTTTCCGGGAAGATGGTGCTGAGGGAGTCTTGGATCTAGAACTCCCGGGAACTGCAAGGCACCTGGCTGCTGATGGAAGTCTCTTAAGGCCAGTTAATGCTTTGCTGCTCACTTACAGAAGGGTCCATGTCATTGAGTCTTTTCAACTGACTTTTTTATATTCCATAGATTAATTTTATTTTCAGATTCATATTTTGAGCAAGTGTGAAGTCACAGAATTCCTCTGTAAAAAAAATATTAAAACTCTCTGCTCAGTGGACATTTAAAAATGGTTAAAATGGCAAACAGTATGCCATATATAACTTACCATAATTTTTAAAAATTAATGATAGAGCATACCAAAACTCAAATACACTTTAATTTTTTTTTTTTTAACGTTTATTTATTTTTGGGACAGAGAGAGACAGAGCATGAACGGGGGAGGGGCAGAGAGAGAGGGAGACACAGAATCAGAAACAGGCTCCAGGCTCCGAGCCATCAGCCCAGAGCCTGACGCGGGGCTCGAACTCACGGACCGCGAGATCGTGACCTGGCTGAAGTCGGACGCTTAACCGACTGCGCCACCCAGGCGCCCCTCAAATACACTTTAAATGGGAGTATCGTATGGAATTATATCTCCATAAAGCTGTTTTTAAACATCTTTATTCACAGTAGGGAAATTTTCCCAACCTTTTTTGTGGGAAAGGAGCCCCAACAAATATCTTTGTTCTTAGTAGATACAGCTCATAACTAATTTTCTTTGTCTGTGTTTTTAGCCCGAGCAGAGCTTTTGGTCACTTGGGATCCAGGGGTTTTCCTTAGAAAATACTGATTTGGGTATCCCAAGAAGAAGAATAAGAAAGAGGAAAAGGAGACACTAAAAATAAATATATATTTACATGGTGTTTCTTTCTGTCTAGCTCAGTAATCCTATTTCTTGAGGAAATAAAAAAATAACCCAATTTTGCTGTTATTGTTCTCCAATATCCTGTTTCCCCGAAATCGTGCTTTCCCTTCCATGAAATAATAAGATCCTTCCCTTGGATGCCTCTGGGGAGGACAAAGCAGTGGCATCATCTCCCCATTCCTGCTGCCCTTTCCTCAGTCAGGTTGGTTCTCATCGTCTACTTTCAACAAAGTCACACTGAAGTGTGAGGGGTTGATAGAGCTACAGCAGGTCAACATTCCTAGAGATGGTTCTATTAGAAAAAGTTTAGCTCACGGGGCACCCGGGCGGCTGTGTCCGTTAAGCGTCTGACTTCAACTCAAGTCACGATCTCACGGTTTGTGGGTTCGAGCCCCTCATTGGGCTCTGTGCTGGTGGTGTGCAGACTGCTTCGGATTCTCTGTCTCTCCCTCTTCCTCTCTGCCCCTTCCCTGCTTGCACGCACTCTCTCGCTCTCTCAAAATGAATGAATAAACTTAAACAAACAAACAAACAAAGAAACGTTTAGCTCATTAACTAACAAGGGTGAATCTCTGGGGGTTGTACATATCCAAGGTAATTCTGGTCCAGTGGGCTTTTCCATCCATCTCAAATGCAACCACAGTCTACAGTGTCATGCCTGAGGCCGTCACCATCTATCTTTGACTTGCAGTGACAATCCTCCCTTCTGAGTAGATGAGTGGATGCCAATTAGATGAATGATATTAGTTGGCTTTGTCTTTAAACTCAGCCTGCTTGGCCTGAAGAAGGTCATTTAGAAAATTCCTTTCACTGAAGAAACAACAAAGCCATCTGCAAAGCATGTATCCATGCCCTTCAGTGTTTACAAAGCAGGGGTAGGAGATTAACAGTTTTTAAAATTCACTGCACTTAAAAAAAGCCATTCTAGTATTTTAAAAAAAGATTCATCTACAGTCAACTGGTCAACTAATGGCAAACAAAGCTGGAGATGGAAACTTCTCCATTACTCAAGTCCTCAAATCACTACCCGGGCTTTAATTTCTTTATCTGTCTGTAATGGTTGAGAAGCCCAAAGAGGGATTATATGACCCTCGAGGTCCCTCCTAGGTCTAGGCTGCAATTTTACTGCAGAGAAACTCTGGTCAAGATAGCGACAAATTAGCCAACATTGCCTCTCCTAAGGGTGACTCAGGGTCATTCTGCTTTTGAATCTGGGGGTGTGTGGCCAACCATCCCTCTCCTGAATACACTAGTAGATATACAAATGCACAGGTGAAAGTCTATGATCATCATAGGAAAACATCCAATGAATGATTCAAAGGTGCAGAGTATAATAATGTCGTTGTACTAGGGCACCTTCAGAACGTCTGTGCAGTAGGGATGACAAGCTGGTAGTTACCCAAGAACGGGAATTACGCACAACATTTCTTTCCCCTAGCCTACCCCAGCAGCCAACTGGGCATCCTTCGGTTGCATCAGAACAGGATCCACATTCTTTATTTTCGGCTTCAGTAAGTATAGGGCTTTGGAAGCAGCCCAGCCTTGTTCTTGTTTAGGTCAGGAACCCTACTTGAAAGAACCCAGTCCTCCCCCACCCATCACTTCCTTTACCCAAAACGCTTTTGAGCTTTTGCACCTACTGTCTCCAACTCATCCTGTCTTCCTTAGGTTCTCTTCCAGCCCCCGCACAGCTCCCATTGTACCTTGCGCCTCCTATTTTTCCCTTGGGAGGTGGTTACCACAGTTATCCTCATTTTACAGAGGAGGAAACTGAGGCACAGAGCCACTCTAGTGATAATGACTTGAAACAGGAGCGGAGATTTAGAAGTGGAAGAAAGACGAATGAGACTGTGAAAAGCAACAACTCCTTAAGGGAGCTGACCCAGGGGGCGCGAAAGGGGAAGGAAACTTTCTTCTCGCCTTTTCTCCACAATAGGCCCTGCTCTACCCAAAGATCCAGAACTCAGGATCCTTGAAACGCTTCAGTCAGTCAGTTAAGAAATCATGGAGCCCATGTTAAAAAGAGGATTAGGAAATCTACTGCTAATTCCACACTCTTTTGCATCATCTGGAGGTTTGAGATGCTGCTTTCGGCACACATTTCATAGGAGACAGACCCCTTGCTACTCAGTTCGGTGCCTCCTGTTGTCCATATTTCCAGAGATGCGTAAAGCATAGCAGCCCTGGAGGACGTTTTCCCAAACTCCCATAAAATGTAGATTTGCAAAATAGAAGAAAAAAACACCACACATCAGCCTGTGTACGAAACCAAAACTGTACCTGATCCGTGGCCCTTAGGTATTAAATTACCATGCATAACTTTTATTTATGAAATCCTGAGGATAATTCAAGTTGAGAAATAAACTAGCTTTTTCCTGTCATATCACCATTGTCTGAATGCTGACTTTGTTACTTGCAAACTGTGGAATCTGTGCTAGTTGCTTAAACTTTCTGAGCCTCCATTTTTTTATATACACTCTGGGAATAATAACAGTATCTGGCCCTGGAGTGGGAAAATTAAAAAAGTAAAGACATATAACCTGCTAGGACAGCGCCTGGTCCATAGTCACAATCAAATATTGCTAGGAATACATCCCTTCTTTAATATACATTTATTTAGTATCTTATGTCTTGCAAGGACAGTGCTAAGGCAAGCCCTAAGAATCCATAAGTTCTTTTCTTATAAAACTGTCTACCTTGTTTGAAAAAATGTTTTTCAGATGCATTACAAAGTAAATAATGCTGTCAGATAACAGGAATTAGAAGTAGATAAGATAAGTGAGACCAAGGGAGGGAGAAGAGGGGGCCAACGTGAAGGCAGGAAAGCTTCTTTGCTGAAGGGTCACATACTTGCTTAGGGTGGGTCACCTTTCTGGCCCTGGACTTCCCTGCAGCCAACAGGAAGCTGCAAAGTTGAACAAGAGAAGATTTCCGACCTCAGGGAGCTCTGAGTCTAGTTGAGGAAACAGATGTGTAAACAAACAATTACAGTGCAATGTGATGAATGCAAAAATGGAAGCTCTCTGGCAGGCTTTGCAGAGGAAGTGATATTCGAGAGCGGTTTTAAAGGATGGAAAGGGTTGTAGAGAACCACCAGGAAAGGGAACAGCACATACCAGGGCTTGGAGCTCTGAAGAGCCTTGGAAAATGTGGGAATAACGTGTGCCAGAGTCTCATCGGAATAGTTGTAGAAGGCATCCAGGTGTGCAATAAACTTTTTTTCCAGTGGAATAATGAAGGGGTTCCTGATTAGTGTTCCCCGTGGCAGCAAGGACAGTAAACACGGCTTCAAAGAAATCAGAACGAAGTTAGGAAATCAAGCAGAATGCCAAGAAAGAAAAGAAAAGGAAACTAAAACTCCACCTCTGGTACTATTTGTCCATTGCAATTTGGATTTCCTCCGGAACCTTTTGGGAAGGAGAGAACTCTATGCTCGGATATACATATTGACTCACCCACTGTCACCTAAAAACAGCATCTGAACCAGTCAGTTAACACGGTAGGATCTTGAAACTGTTTCAGATCATTAGAAATTATAAAATCACATGCTCTATTTTAATTAAAAAGAAGCATAAGTCATTTTTCAAAGAGCTAAGTACTGATAAAGTTGAGAGGAGACCAGAGTTTTTCTTACTTTCATTTTTGAGTCTTTTTCTACTTGACCATTTGGACTGTCCCAATTCCTTGGCAGAGTTTTGAGATCTGACACAATGTATTTCTTCAAAAATGAAGGAATAACACAGGGCAGAAAACAGGAGAGAGTAGCTTCAAATCAGAGAAACGGATTTAAATTCCAATAGTCAAAAATATTGTTGCAATATGCGAGAGGTTATTAAATACATATAGACGAATTCCATAGAAGGGCTGTATATTTGAAAGTAGAGAAAACTTTGACTATATGCATTACAATTTTGTTTTCAAAATTCTTCTAGCTTGACATAAACATATCCTCATATCTGCAGGTGCCCAATTTGAAAATAACTTGTTTTCAAATGACTGAAACTTGATAGAAGTTTTATTTTTGCACGTTGCATTGCTTTGACCCCACTGGCTTAAGTGTCTTCCCAGAAATCCTTTATCTTCTTGGCTGATAATCTTTTAATTTTTTTTTTAATTTATGTTTATTTATTTTTGAGAGAGAGAGAGGGAGGGAGGGAGCGGGGGAGGGGCAGAGAGAGAGGAAGACACAGAATCTGAAGTCGGCTCCAGGCTCTGAGCTGTCAGCACAGAGGCTGATGCAGGGCTCGAACTCACGAACCAGTCCGTGAGATCATGACCTGACCCGAAGTCTGACGCCCAACTGACTGAGCCACCCAGGCACCCGTTGGCTGATGATCTTTAACAGTGAATCCTAACACGGTATCATGGGCTCTTTCCATCTGGTCCTCAATCACATGGCTGGTCATCTCTGAACATATGCTCAAGAGCATTGTGACAGTTCCAGATTCAAAGAAAATCTGTGTTGAAATTTTTTTAGTGAAGCAAAGATAAATAACTACTCTCCCATTGTACTCTCTTAGAAGCTCTGTTTACATTTTTGGGACTGTATTGTTTTGTTGCAAAAGGGATCACCTGCTTCTTCTTAAAAGCGTCCTGGATTTTCCTGGTGTGAATGATTCGCACGTACTCACTTCGGTGGCATGGCCAGCAATGTATATACTTCACCGTACCTGCCTCACTAGGGCCAGACCCTGCTTCCCAGCCTAGCCTCTCGGTGGCCCAAAAGCCCTTGCTGTCCTGATGGCTGGCTGCCTAATTCCAGGACAGGGATCGCAGGGTCCATGGTGGTACTGCCTGCACCAACCCAGTATCTGACTGGAGGAGCACTCGGTGACAACCTGCTGAACAAGCCAAAACATAAATGGCCAGGACCAGGGCGGCACAGACAATCTGGGATGTCTATCTCCAGCGGCTCCCAACTTCCCGCTCAGTCTTTTGGAGTGTTCTTTCCCTCCCCTGAGATGTCACTTACATGCTGCCCAGTACCCGTTCAAAGCCTCCACTTTTTTACCCTTCACTCATACAGTTGTCCAACACTACACATTATTATCAGCATTCTTACATACACTACTTTAGAGTTCTAGAAGGTCCTTTCTGGGGGGCGCCTGGGTGGCTCAGAGGGTTGAGCATCTGCCTCTTGGTTTCGACCCAGGTCACGATCCCGGGTTTGTGGGATCGGGCCCCGCACCGGGGATTCTCTCTCTCCTCTCCCTCTGCCCCTCTGCCTCTCGCGCGTGCTCTCTCTCTAAAATAAAAAAGAAAAAGAAAAAAAAAAAAGAAGGTCCTGTCTGTTATCTTTTTAGATCCCAAGATAATGATTGTTACCAAAACATACACACAAAGAAGGCGAGAGCAAGAAGACTGACAGGTATTATGTGTCATTCCCATCCCCCAAGACCCTTGGCCATACCTCTCATTGTCCCCACTCTACACAAGTAGCTCTCATTCCACACCCTTCTTTCACATCGAAATACCCAGAGCTTATCTAAGACAGTCAGGAGGCTCTTACAGGGAGGTAAAGCTTAGTTTCCAATCCAATCTCTACCCACAGACCAAATTGGTCAACCTCCCTGAACCTCGGTGGTCTTGTCTGTAAACTGGGTTCATATATAATCTCCCTTTACAGTGAACATGTATTTGTTTATCATCTGTGAAGTTAAAAACCCTTTGAAACAAACATAAATAAATGAGGGCAAGGTGGAGAATCTGGCCCCTAATGTGTGCTCTCCTTCTCTGAACAGTGTGGTCACCTAATTAGCAAGGCTGATACGTTTCACTACATTTTTTGTAAAAAGATATCCATAAGGGGAGCCTGGGTGGTTCAGTCAGTGAGACGGCTGACTCTTGATTTTGGCTCAGGTCATGATCTCACGGTTTGTGAGTTCGAGCCCCTCGTCAGGCTCTGTGCGGACTGTGAGCCTGCTTAGGATTCTCTCTCTTCCTCTCCTCTGCTCATGCACTCTCTCTCTCAAAATTAATAAATAAACCTAAAAAGGGGCACCTGGGTGGCTCCGTCTGTTAAGTGTCTGACTTTGGCTCAGGCCATGATCTCATGTCTGTGAGTCTGGGCCCCGCGTTGGGCTCTGGGCTGACAGCTCGGAGACTGGAGCCTGCTTCGGATTCTGTGTCTCCCTCTTTCTCTCTGTTCCTTCTGCACTCACGGTTCATCTCTTCTCCCTCAAAAATAAAGAAACATTAAAAAAAAAACTTTTTTAACAAATAAAAACAAAGATGGCCATAACTTTGTGATTTTCTAGCTGGTGGAAGGTGTAAGAAATAGACTCACCAGCACTCCCTCTTATCCTGCCCTCTCTGGGGTGAGGGCTGAGTGTCTAGGTCCCCACAGACACACTCCCTCGCATGTGATGAGGCACTGGGGTAGAACTGACCTTGGGCAAAACAGGCACAACAGCAAGTAGGGTATGTTTGCTTTGCTCTTTCACTTCCCTCTCTGAATACTTTCCCACATTCGGGTTTTTCCTCACCACCCACCCAGTCCACTTTTCTAGATCCTGTATTTTAACATTCTCCTCTCAAAGTAACGATTATAGTTTTGTTTTTAAGGCTAACGTTTCCATTACATTAAATGTCCCATGTTGCAAAAAATATATACATATACATATACATATACATATATGTATACATATACATACATATGTATATGTATACATATACATATGTATATGTATACATATATGTATATGTATGTGTGTGTGTGTGTGTGTGTATATATATATTCTTGGCCACAAATACTTTTTATAGCTAATGATGATAGTTACAGAGCTTCAAGACTCATTCTCTTTCAGAAGGATGCATCCCCATATACTTCAAGAATGGACACCTAGCTTTTATTTATCACAGATAATTATCCTGGTCTCTCTACACTGGGACGGCAATCAGGAAGTCCCGTTCTGCTACGTCCTGGGGCCAGGAATTTTATTGATTCTTCCATGGTGTTCTGCCTTCCCTTAAACCATGAGGACACCCATCTTGCACAAGAACACAGAGATATGTAGACAAACATGTGAGTGAGCATTCATACACAGACACACGTGCATGCAAACGTATACACACATGCACTAACTTTGAAAGATATATCCCCGAAGGTCGACAAGTTGGAAAAGGGAAAGTATGTGTTTCCATTTGGTTGTTTTTCAGTGACCACCAACTGAACCGTAGCTTTGACTCACAATATGTTATCTAAATTTTATACGTGTAAATATTTTTTTTAGACACAAGACCTGGAAAGGAGAACCTATCCAGATCCAAGAAGAGTTGAATCGTTTTTTGTGGTTTCTAAATGTGGAAGAATTGACTCCAAGTTAGTGAACTGTCTAAATCTAAATGCTGTCCAAGATGGCAGCCACTAACCATATGTGGCTACTGACCCCTTGTCTGACTTAAATGCAGTATAAAATACACACTGTAATAAAATATATTACTCTTTACATAAGTTTATTTATTTCTTTGTCTTGAGAGAGAGTGGGAGAGGGGCAGAGAGAAAGGGAAAGAGAGAATCCCAAACAGGTGCCACGGTGTCAGAACAGAGCCCAATACAGGGCTTGATCCCATGAACCGTGAGATCGTGACCTGAGCTGAAACCGAGAGCCAGACGCTTAACTGACTGAGACACCCAGGCGCCCCAATAAAATACACTAGTAAGTTGACTTTACTTATTTATTTTTCCTTCTTAATGAATATGCGGCTTATACACGTAGGTCGCATTTTGTATCTATCAGACAGCACTAGTCTTGATGTTAATTAAGTTGTGAAAAAGGAATGTTTTCTTATTCTAGAGTATAGGGGACTAGATGAGCAGAGAGCTCCAGCGGCATGTAAGCCCTGACATATCATATATTTACTTGTGTATTATGTCATTCTCTTCTGCTACCAGAAAATGAAGTTCATATAAATCAAAGTTTATGGATTGTTAACCCGCGCAGTGTGTGAAATAACTGAAAATTTAAAATGGATCTTCCATCCTCCATTATGACTTAAGCTCGGTAGCAAGGCCTTTTCTGCTTTGGCTCAAGCATGTGGATGTGTGCCCTGAGACAGTTGCTTGAATGGTGTCATGTGGGGGTCTGACTACCGTCATTTTCAGAAATTTGGGAGACCACTTTGGAGATTGGGATTCGGTTCTCATTTATATCTTCTCCACTATTCCTTTCCTTCCCTCCTTCCTTCCTGGTACTTAAGCCAAAAACCACCATTATTCATCACTCTTTTTCTCTTACTACTCTCCACTTCTATGCTATTGGATCTTCCTTCAGAATATTCCAAACTCTGCCCACTTCCTCCCACTCTGCCATTGCCACCTTGGCCCACATCATCAGCATCTAAATAAACAGAAATCAGATCGTGGTGCTCCTCTGTTTAAGACCACCCGATGTCTCCATGGCAGTACAAGTAAAAGCCAAAGTTCTTACAATGACTTTAAAGACTAATCCTACTCCCATCGCCCAATTCTCAAACCTCAGTGCCCTAATCCTCTCCCCCTGGCTTACTCTGATCAAACTTTACAAGTCTCCAAGTTGTTCTTCACACTCCAGCACACTCCTGCCTCAGGGCCTTTGCACCTCCTGATCCTGTTGCTTGGTATGCTCTCTCTGAAAATCTTTGCATGGCTTATTTCTTTGCTTCCTTCTAGTGTCTGTTTGAATGCCATAACTTCTTTGACCATCTATATAAAATACTATCCTTTTTTTCCTCATGTAATTAATTTTTCCATCAATCTTATCAGCATGTGACATGTCACATACCTACTTATTCATTTATTTATCATCTCTTACCATTAGAACTTTAGCTCCAGGACAGTGAGGATTTTGCTTTGTTCATTGTTGTATCTCCAGTGCCTAGGCATGGCTTATATCTTAGGCATTCCATAGATAATTGTTGAAAGAACTCATGAAATAAATATCGCAAAGCTTTGTAAATAAGTCCCAAATTTCAAACTTTCAGACATTCATAACCACCATTAGCAAAGTAAATGAGAAATTTCCCCAGAAATCTGGAGAACAAACCATTCTTATTAACATTCTCCCCCTGTCCTCCCCTCCACCACTGTTGATGATCTGATAAATTATTTCACAGAGAAACAATATTTATGATGATGTTTTAGGTCACAATTTATATATACAAATACAATTAATTATTACAATTAATTAATACAATTAACATATATACATAAATGTTAATTGTACTGTTAAAATCACATTTAGATGTTAGATCTCTGTGGGTTAGTTATAAAATATAACACAGCTTGAACTTTCCAGCCTTAACTCATCTTGTTAACTGGACTTGGAGAACCAGTTAACCAGGTTCCAGGAAAGTTTTATCCATTTTTCAAGGAAACATGTAAAGTACCCCATTCTCCATGAAATCTCCTCTGACCCTCCATCGAACAGTACATTTTCTCTATTCCGAAGCCCCAGATACTATTGAAAACACATGTTAACTGTGGGACTTACCTTATTTTGCCCTGTAATAGAGGTGTAGGACATGGACCTAGGTTTTTCTACCTCTATCTTTTGCAGGTAGTCTATAAACACCTCAGGAAGGCTCTCTTATTCCTCTTTATTCCCTGCATTGGCTAGCATAATTCTTTGAACATAATAGGCCCTCGGTTTATATTCGTTGTACAGTGTTTAGGCATAACAATATTTCTAGAGAAAAAGAAAAGCTTCATCAGTTTTTTTTAAACCACTTTGCAGCAAACTTTTAAAGCAAAAAATCCTTTCTAAGTTAGAGTCCACACCATATACACTGGCTGTGTTTTGGTGTTTACGTTGATCCTGTCGATTTGAAGTTCCCAATGGGGGTAAGAACTTTCTTCATCTCTACGATCAGCATCTCTTTTGAGCGCTTAGCTCCTCCAGCCATAGAGCCCCTTTAACCAGTTTATTTGTTTCCTTTCTCTCAGGAGATGTGTTTAGTGATTTAGAGATGTGTTTAGATATTTAGAGATGTGTTTAGCCTCACACAGTGTCTAGGGCTGAACTGAAATGTGTGCTTCAACATGGAAGAATGTTTTCAAATTGCCTTCCTTCCTTACCCATCCCCACCCTACCCAATACAATAAAGTAGATTTTTTTTTTTTTTTTATTCCAAGGAGGGGAAAAAAGCAGCTCTAGAGAAAAAAGTGTTTCTCTGTTTTTGTTATTGGGACGACGTGGGGAAA